GGTTTTAAAATGTTCAGAGCCATATACATGAATCCAAATTGATCTTCTGTCTCCTTCATTTCAGTACTGAATTATCCAACCCTTGAAGTTTCTCACCCTGATTCTGGGTCAGGCAGTTTCTACAGGAGAGCATATAGTACTCTTACCATGACCCTGGTTGCAGGTCCCCACTTTTTTCTGAGCATCTCCACACTGAGCTGTATGCTACTTCTTCTGTAAGCACCCAATTTAGTACAAGTGCCTTGAGCAATGGAGATATGTTAGCTTCTACATGATCAAGCCAACCCCCTCTCTAGTATTCAAATTTGGCTAAACCTAAGTTGTCAGGCTGGAAACAGAACCTGGACTCCAGGGCCAGGGCTGACCCACAACATACAGTGACTTGAGAACTTAATGAGAACTTAGTAAGGACAGCTGGGGCTCAGAAATGTAGGGAGAAGCAGCAACTCAGGCCCTATCTCAGTGATGGGGAGAAGAATGAATCTTCTTCTGTGAGGCCTTGCTCAGACTTTCTCTGATCAAGAGCTGAGATGCAAATCTTCTTCTTAGCTCCAGCTTCTTACCCTCATTGTCAGGGTGGTTGAAAGGAGTCCTCACTGAGGGCTTCTGTGGAACTGCTCTTTCTTGGGCTGTGGGAGAGGCTGGCTCTTGTTCTTTATGCAATGGCACACTTTTTTTTTCCAGGTCTACAGGTGAGTTGAGGTGGAAAGATGGAAAAGCACAAGGCTTCTCTTTTCTTTTTCCATCCAGACCTTGTCCTCACTGGAGATCAAGCTTCGGGTCTCTGTGGTAGCCAACTTGGATGAGGCCTCTAATACAGAGGCCTGTGGTTCTTGCCATCATACTTGTTCTATTCAGGCCCCCTGGGCTCTAGGCCATGTGTTCCCATGTGCAAAGCAGGGGCCAGTGTGGCTCATCTTGGTTTTTAACTGTTCTAAAGACTTTTGGACTTGAAAGATGTGGTGAGAGGTTCCTAGAATTCTGGGTTCTTGGGAAGGGCTGCCTTCCCCTCTTCTAATTAGGACTCCAAAGACTAGTTACCTTCTCTGTCTCTAGAAATTAGAATTGAAATAAATAAAGGGCTGAAGTGCCAGTGGTGGTTTTCAATAATTTTGTCACCCCAACATACCTGAGGGACATAGCACACACCTACCAGAACAGTGGCTCACCACAGAAGGGATTTTCATTTGGGGAAGAGGGAACCTGTCAGCATCTCCAGGACAACACGTGAGTCTGATGTGCCCTATTATCAAGAATCACTTGGCCAGAGACTTGTCTATAGGAAATCAGAACCGGCCAATAGAAGGAGTAAACAGAGACCCCCCACCCTCCAATCTATAACCAGGAGCTTCACAAAGGAATTTTGATCCTTTTTCAATGAAGAAGAACCAGGTCTCTGAAGGCATGGACAGCTAGGCATGGGTATATGTGTGTGTATGCACATATGTGTGCAGTGGCAGGTCCAGTCTGTGATGTGAGGGTAGGGGGGTGGGTCCAGGAGCGGATACTGCCACAGCTCCCAGGGCTTTTCCTGGTGGCAATGCATTTACTGCCTCTGTTGTGAGGGGAAGAGTGATTTCAGTTCCATAAAGCTTAGTGGCAAATTGAGATGCTGGCAGTGCTCCATCCCCGTAAGTCTCAGGCAGAGGATGGTGGGGGGGAAGGGGGAAAGGGCAAAAGGAAAGGAGGGAGAGAACATCACTGTCCCCCAGCTTCTCTGCTCCATGCTATCCTGGGGGTTTCAGATGAATTGCTGCACTGTTGGGGCGAGCGGCCAAGATGTAGACAACATTTTCCTGCAGGAAGGTAGGCCAATCCACAAATCTGGAGTGGGAGCAAAGAACAGGTTTGTGAGATTGGCTGTAGAGCCTGAAGGCTCGTGAGACCTGGTCCCAGTGGCAGTACAGCTTGAGCTGAGCAAAACTCAGAGAAGCCCTGGCTTTTGGCTGACATAGGTATGACTGGCTGTGCTTCCAAGTTGACAGACCAGCCAACTGATCCTATATATCTGTAGTCAAATGTATATTCTTGGAGCCTGGTTTCTGGGATAGGCACTTGCTGTTTTGGGGTGGCAGTTAGTAATGCCCACTTATGTGTGTTAAAGGGTAGGGGTGCAGACAGCCCCTTAAGGAGGTTCTACTCACCTGGACTCCTGTTCTGTTGGCAGCAGAGCCTTGTCCTGACTCTTGCTGCTGCTGCTGGCTGGGCTACTATCTGCTATGGGACCCACATGGCTGATACTGTTGGACACAATGATATGTGGTTAGCAGTGGGAAAGTGAAAGGTCTGGCTCCTCCCAAACTCTGGTGAACCCATCCATGGCTCTGGACATGCATGTCCAGGCTTTTCTAATGTTTATTTAGTTTTGAAAGAGAGAGAGACAGAGAGAGACAGACAGACAGCATGAATGGGGGAGGGGCAGAGAGAGGGAGACCACAGAATCTGAAGCAGGCTCCAGGCTCTGAGCTGTCAGCACAGAGTCGGACGTGGGGCTTGAACTCACAAACAGTGAGATCATGACCTAAGCCCAAGTCGGATGCTTGAGCCCCCAGGCTTTTCTGATATGGGGCCACAGTTTGGAGGAGGGGATGCCCTATGCCTTGGCCCAACAGGAGTCACTGTCTAATGCACAGGAGGATCCTCTCCTATCCGTTGACAGAAGAAACAGAGAGGTACCTTTTATGCCAAGGGCCATTTGGCATGGAAAAAGGATAAGGGCATGTGAGTGGGGGCAGGGATTGGCAGGGAGCAAACCTGACACTGCAGGATGGAGCCTCTGCAAGGCGTTTGCAGAACCAAGAATGCTGGGCTCCGCGGCATTCTGCCTCACTGATAGTGTTCCCACTGCCCCGTGCCAGGAAGATGGCCCGGGCTCGCTCCCGCTCCTTGACTGTCAGAAGCCTTAACAGAGAGTTCTGGGGAAGAAGACACAAGTTAAGATCTTGGGAGCTGAAAATATTTTGTAAAATGTCAAGCCATAGAGAATCCTACCTCCATTACCACCTTGGCAGCCTCCCTTTGAAGCTGCCCAGAGGCTTTCTGGTAGCATTAACATTTGCAGTTGGGTTCAATGCAAATCAATCTTCCTTGGGCAGTTTCCCCAGCTTAGGCACTGGACCACCTGTTACTGGGTAGAAGGTGAGCCCTTTCCTGGTACTGGTCCCTGCTAAGACAGTACCTAGTGCTCCCCCAACCTACCTGGCATGCTTCCCAGGTCTCTGTCACCCAGTATCCCATCAACATTCACCCCAGCTGCCCTCACCTGGGGACGCAATTGCTGCAGAAGCAGGAGGGACTCATGGGACAAGAAGTCAGGCCACTCTATGTGTCCTCGATGTTCAGGGTCCAGGGCTGCAAACTGGCGGGCTGCCTGCTCTTCTTGCTCCTCGCTTAGAGCCCTGTCACTGTCCCCCCGCTTTGCTGCTTGGTGGCGGTAGCGCAGGAAGTCCTCCAGTGTCAGGGAGCAATCTGTGGGAGGCACCCCATGCTAGCCATGCCCACCCTTTCCTCAGCCTCTGGGGCATCTGCATTCACCCCTAGGCTACCCTCCAGAGCCCCTACATCCATAGCTTTTGTGGAGTCTTTTTCTCCCACAGCCAGGATAACTGAGGCTGTGGTGGGTGGGGGGAATGGGTAGGTGTGTGGGTGCCCCTGCTGGCCAACAGGGACCTATTTACCCCTACCCTCCAAATTCCAGAATACTCCTTTTATGGTTCATCCTAGAAAGTATGGAGGAAAAATGTGCCAGCCCCTCTGCATCTGACAGCCCTGTGCAGCCTTACCAGGGATGACTTTACACTGCTGAAAGGTCTCTGTGAGGCTGTACATTTCCTCCTCAGTTAGCAGCAAGTTGAGGTTGTCCTGAAAAAAGAGAAGAGCTGAGTCAGTGGCCATATAGACCAGCAAGAAAGAAAAGCCAAGGATCAAGAAGGATGGAAATGGTATTTCAATTTGAAGGCAATTCTGGGATCATCTAATCCCAGCCTCTAATCAGAATCAAGGAGACTGAGTTTCTAGAAAGGGGAAAGGACTTGCTCAGAGTTGACCAACTCTGTGGCAGAATCTTCCCCAGAAGCCTGGTATCCTGATTCTAGACCTGAGTCCCTTTTACGAAGACAGGAGTTTAAAAATTATTCTGAGATACCCTAGGGATTCCTTGGAAGTGCCTTAGGAAGCTGCTTCAAGGGAAAAGGGGACTAGTAAGTGGGCAAGGTGTGAATCCCCAACTCCATCAACCGCAGCAGCTCCATCTTTATTCATTTTATGTACCTGGCTTCTGTGTTAGACTGTGCTCAAAGAGGATTTCAGTTAAAAAAGAAGTTTAATTCTAACTGATCCTAGTAGGCTGTATTACTTTAAATAATACATAATGGTTTTAAAAGAGATGACATAATGACAAAGTCCCTAAAACCAAATGAGTTTTTTTGTGGTGCCATAGAAGCTTTAATTCTAAAACAGCACTGATATGTTATTTTGTTAACACTTATATACAGTTTTATAGTCTTTAAATTATCAAAGATTCTCTATAGTAGGTTATTTCTCTCCTAAAATGCCAGCAAAGAACAGGAACAGACATATCATGAGTATTCATTTGTGGATTTCATAAAGAACTCAAACAATTCTTTCAATAAATGTGGTGTAACACTGTGAGATGTTCAGTGGGGCAGGAGTGTAGGGTGTGTGTGTATGTGTGTGTGTGTAAGGAAAATAAAGAGGAATGATAAAAGATAAGGGACAGGTAGGCCAAAGCCTGACTGTGAAGTGCCTCAAATGCCCTTTATTTAAGGGCCTCAAATTCCCTTTATTTCTGAGCCTTTATTCAAATGAGCCTTTATTTTGGGGCAAAGAGGAGTCACCAAATGTTTTTTTTTTTTTTTTTTAATGTTCATTTACTTTTTAGAGAGAAAGAGACAGAGAACAAGCAGGGAAGGGGCAGAGATAGGGGGACAGAGGATCCAAAGTAGGCTCTGCACTGATAGCCGAGAGCCTGATGTGGGGCTTGAACTCACAAACCATGAGATAATGACTGATCTGAAGTCGGACACCTAACCGACTGAGCCACCCAGGGGCCCCACCAAATGGTTTTTAAGGGCAGAGTGCCATGGTCAACTCTTTGCTATATGGAGAATGAATTAGAGGGGCAAAGTCTAGATGCATGGAGAAGTTAGTTGGCTGTCACTATAGTGCAGGTAAAAAAAGATGAGTGGCTAAACTAAGACTTGAGGATGGAGAAGAGAGGAGAGATTGGAGGTATTAGAAGACAGAATCACTTACTGGATGTGAAGGATGAAAGAGAGAAATGAGTTGGTGTTGGTACCTGGGGAGTGGTGGTGGTGGTATTACTATTGACAGAGACAATAAATGGATGGAGAACAGGTTTTGGGGAAAAGGGGAGTTCATTTTGGGGCATGCTGAATGTGAAGTACCTGTGAGGCAACAAGATGGATGTAAATCCAAGAGATAAGAAATTCAGGTCTGGACACACAGGTTTGGGAATCATTAGTGTTTAGACAGTAGCTGTAGCCACTGAAGTGGATGAAGTAACCCAGGCAGAGAGTGTGTACAATGAGAAAAGATAAATGTAACAACAGAACCCCAAGAAAGCATTTAGGACTACAGCAAGAAATTAACTAAAGTCATTCAGAATGGTCAGAGAAGATAGGAAGAGTATCAGTAGAGGATACGAGAAGCCAAGAAAAGAGAGTTGCACAATGTAGAAGGTTATATTAACAGTGGTTATACAAATATGATAGGACTTTACTGATTTTCTATTTTCTCTAGTTTCCATATTTTACATAATAACTCTCATAAATACTCAAATCCCTCCAACAGAGAAGAGGCAATAAGGAAGTGCTACATACCCCAGAGAGGTCAAGTAAGAAGATACCTGAGAAAAAGTCACTAGACTTGACAGTTAGGTCACTGGTGACTTAAGAAAGAAACAATTCAGCAGAATGATGGATGCAGAAGCTGAATTATAGGTGGGTGAGTAGCCACAAGGAGCTAATGGAGTCTTTTCAAGAAGCCTGGCTATGAAGGGAAGGAAATAAAGGGGAAGAGCTTGGAAGAAGCCTTTGTAAAAAGTCTGGAAAGTGTTAGTAATGATGGTAGGACCATGACAGAAAGCCAAGAAGGGGGCCATATATTCTGGGGTGGGGGTGGGGGTTAGGACAGAGACACCTTCAACCTGGTCCCACATCAGAATACTGCAGAGCAGAGTTGCTGGGAGTGAAAAGGCTGGTGTTTGGAGGGGTGGTGACTAGAGAAGATGGTGTGTAGAGCAGGGTCTACCATGACATACTTCAGCTGGGGAAAAGATGTGTAAGTGGCTGGAAATAACTGTCCTATACTTCAATTTTGCTTTATTCTAGGCAGTAGGAAGAAGAGGGGGGATCTGCTGATGCTCCTTATTCTGAAATCCGTGAATAATGAAGACACCTGCAGGATAACAGATCAATAAAGCAAGAGTTAAACTCTATTCAGATGTGCTGAGAAATGGATATGAATCTGGCTTTTGTCTTTTTAAAAGTTAGAAGGCATTTATATAGAATTTGCAAAGTTCTGAATCAATAGACCGTTGTTATTTAATTTACATAATGATCACATTAGAGATAAAGAACAAATGCTCCTAAGAATTAGGTGGTAGACCAAATGACAATCTTAGGACTAAGAAGTAAGTGTTCCTATGTTAGAGCCTACACCTATTGGAGGCAAGCTGGTTAGGATTTCAGGTTGGTTTTTCAGATGAGTACAATGAATGACAACCACAGACTTAGAGAGAAAGCAATGTTCCAAACAAAAGACTTTTTAGTAATTAAGCCTCATCCTACCCATTGATTCTTTTAGCTCAGTGGTTCTCAACTGGGGATAAGTTTTCTCCCCTAGGACACATTTGGGAGTATCTGGAAACATTTTTGGTTGTTACAACTGGGGTTGGGTGCCACTGACATCTAATGGGGGTAGAGGCCAGGGATGCTGCTAAATATTCTACAATGTATACACTCCCCACAACAAAAAATTATGTCCAAAAATGTCATAATGCTGAGGTAGAGAAAGCCTGTCCTCAAGAGAAAGCTTGAGGATCCATGTGTCTACTATTGGAAACCTCTTTAGGTCACTGCCTAGAAACCAGTGTTCCAAGACTGGGTCTCTAGTAAAAGTGCCAAGTTCCCTGCAGTGAGGCAGCCTACTGTCCCTGTAGTCCAGGCTCACACAGTAGTGGCAGCTCCAGCCGGTTTCTGTGTGGGCTGTCTCGGTCACCTCCGCTGCACTATCTCCTTGGATGTAGCCCATGCGGCGCAGGCAGCCATCATGGAAAACCCTGGTGCAGATCCTGCATGGGAAGAGGCTCTCAGCTGTCCAGACCTCACAGACATCACACATCTCATCATTGACAACCTGAGGAAAGGAATAAATAGGGAGTGTATTCATTCCAGTGTAGGCAGCAAGATCCTATGACCACCAAACACAGAGCTACCTACACGGGGCTGAGTGTCCCTGGAGAAGCCCAGAGAAACAGCTCCAACTGAAGGCAGTGTTGAGGTGATGGAGCTTTCTCTTGGAGAGACAAGAATCAGTAAGCTTTTCCATATGCTCAGGCTTCTGTGATCATGTTTCTGAAGAGGGATGCTACTAGGATTTTTGGGGAAAAAAATCTGTTCTGAAAGACTGTCCCAAGCATTGCAGGACACTGCAATTGCAGGATGCAGGACATAGCATCCCTGGTTTTCTTGGCATCAAAAACCAGTAGCAATTCCCACTCACTGTGACCTTCTTGAATGCCCACAAATTTCTAAATGCCTCCTACAGGGAATACTACTATCCCTGCTATCATGTCATTCCTTATCACCACTGCCTCATGTCTCTCACAAAACCAATCCAGGATGTAACATTTTTATTCTTGTAGAAGAAATTCTTTAAGATTGTTCTGGACTCAACTGCACCTTTCTGGAGTTCTTTTGTTTTTGAGTCTCATTTTAACTATACTCAGGCTGTCCTATCCTGCTCTCTGATTCTCAGAAAGTCTAAGACTTGAGGATTGTGCCTTAACTGGATACTCACATGTTCTCTGGGCTCCAAGCAGATATCAGGAGGCTTGTCATCATCCAGCTTCCGGGTAGGGCGGATGAACGCAGGGGGTGTGAAACGATTAGTCCTGTCAAACTCCTCAGGCTCCACTCCACGCCCATCTCGGAGCCTCTCCCAGGCTGCACGGTTGACACTGCTCTCTTCTTGGAGCACTGGAGTGCTTGCCTCTGCTTCTTTCTCCTCCTGTACCTCCTGGACAGAGCCCTCTACGGTGCCACGGCGGGACCCTGGAAGCTCACCAGTGCGTCGGATGGAAGGCCTGTCCCGTAGCCCATCCTTGAAGGCAGACACAGCCAAGCTCACCTTCTGCACCTGCTCCACTGTCTGCCGCTTGGACATCAACACCCCCATGGCTCTGTGGACCAAAAGCAGAGGGGCCCAGACTCAACCAATGGCCATGTTGGGCCAATCAGTTTCAACCATTCACCTAAATGGCAAGATTTTCTGGAGCTTAGTGGCATGGTGAGGTGGAGAGAACACTTGTTAAGGAGTCAAAAGACTGCTATTTTTAACTAGCTCTGTGAGTTTGTTTTTCTCGTTTATAAAAATGGAAGCTATCTGCCCAGTGCACTTCACAGGGCTGTCATGAGGATAACATTAAAAAATGAGCTTAAAAAGTGCTTAGTAGACTGGGAAGTATTCTACAAATGTGAAATTGTATCTCTGTCTTTCTTGGTGTCCCAAAGCCAATTAGGTCTAGGGGTCCCACGCCTTTGTTAAGAAAGTTAGAAACTTCAGAGCCCAAGTCTTTCCTCTGCCCCATGAGACGACCCAAGGCTTAAAGCAAGACTGCAGCAATACATTTCAGACTTCTGACAAGAAACACTCCTCCAATAAGTGCTGTGCACAGTGCATCCAGGGATAATCCACATAAAATGCTCATTTTTTCAGTCACAGTGAATGATCTCCTATTTTTAGGGGACTCCTAATTAGATAGGAAACTCTACCACCCAATCCGTATGGTTAAGGTCACAAACAATCCTTTGCCCCCTCTAATTGGTACCTATGCTTCTTTGTGGGTGTGTTTCTCTTTCATAGACAACCTGACCTAAGGTGCTGCTCACATTTTTAAAACTTCACTAATGTTTTTTTTTTAATTTAATGTTTATTTTTGAAAGAGAGACAGAGCACGAGTGGGGGAGGGGCAGAAAGAAAAGGAGACACAGAATCTGACGCAGGGTCCAGGCTCCAAGCTGTTAGGACAGAGCCCAATGCGGGGCTCGAACCCACAAACCACGAGATCTAAGCCCATCAGACACTTAGAACCTATTTGAACCGACCGGTTTGAACCGATTGAGCCACCCAGGCACCCCACTAGTGTTATTATTATTTAAAAAAAATTTTTTTTTTCCAACGTTTATTTATTTTTGGGACAGAGAGAGACAGAGCATGAACGGGGGAGGGGCAGAGAGAGAGGGAGACACAGAATCGGAAACAGGCTCCAGGCTCCGAGCCATCAGCCCAGAGCCTGACGCAGGGCTCGAACTCACGGACCGCGAGATCGTGACCTGGCTGAAGTCGGACGCTTAACCGACTACGCCACCCAGGGGCCCCTAGTGTTATTTTTTTTTAATGAACTGAACTGTTCAATAACACCTTTACAGATTAAGAAGTAACATTATCCCTGCTCTTCCTTTGCAGTACCAGGGTACAGCACTGTTAAGTGAGGGCATGACATGGCACATTGCAAAGCTGGTTTGCTATTTCCTAGCCTGAAAGGTCTTAGTGGAATTCAGCTGGGGAATGCTTCTTCTAAGTAAAGTGAAGAAGAGAGTCCATTTTAGCCTTTTTCTCAATCCATAATAATCAAGGCTTATTGAACAGCACAATGTGCAAAGCACTAACTACTCATCATAAGACATAGAAGACAGGAGAACAGTCTCACCACTAAAGCTACTTAATATCAGAACTCAAAGAAGAGTGAGACAAAGTACTGGAAATGCCTAAAGGGAGGTTAAGACTACACTACTGGGAGTCAAAGTGGACCCTGAAGAACGGGTAGGAAGCTATTTTCAGTTTGTGTGGGTGAAGAGGTGGCAAAGGGTAGGAGGAAAGTTTAGGGCCAATTAGAAGGCTACTATAATAGTCCAGGAAAGATGTAGAGGATTTAAACTGAAATGATGACAGCAAGAATAATGCTGACGGAGTCTATTTGATACCCTGGAAACAAAATTAGAGAAATTGGTAACTGACTAGATAAAGGGTAAAGGGAGAGAGGACAGTTTTATGTTCATTTATTTCCCAGCTTTATTGAGATATCATTGACATACAACACGATATGAATTTAAAGTGTACAACGTGATGATTTGATACTTATATATCGCAAAAATGTTTACAATAAGGCTAGTTAACACATCCTTTACCTCACATAATTACCATTTTGTCATTCTTATATTAAGAACATTATAGCTCTACTCTTGTAGCATCTTTCAAATATACAAAATAGTATTGACTATGGTCACCTTGCTGTACCTGAGATCCCCAGAACTTACTTATTTTATAACTGAATGTTTGTACCCTTTGACCAGTGTTTCCCCATTTCCCCCTATTCTCAGCCTTTGGCAACCATAATTGTACTCTGTTTCTATGAGTTCAATATTTTTAAAGTTTTATTTATTTATTTTGGGGGGCAGAGAGGGAAGGAGAGGGGCAGAGAGAGAGAGAGAGGGAGAGAGAGAGAATCTCAAGCAGGCTCTGTACTGTTAGCATGGAGCCTGATGTGGGGTTTGAACTCATGAACCTCAATATCATGACCTAAGCTGAAATCAAGAGTCGGATGCTTAGATGGCAAACAGACACATGAAAAGATGCTCAACATTGCTCATCATCAGGGAAATGCAAATCAAAACCACATTGGGATACCACCTCACACTGGTCAGAGTGGCTAAAATTAACAACTTGGGAAACAGCAGATGTTGGCGAGGATGTAGAGAAAGGGGAACCCTCTTGACTGCTGGTGGGAATGCAAACTGGTGCAGCCACTCTGGAAAACAGTATAGAGGTTCCTCAAAAAATTAAAAATAGAATTACCCTAAGATCCAGCAATTGCACTACTAGGAATTTATCCAAAGGATATAGGAATGTTGATTCAAAGGGACACATGCACCTGAATGTTTATAGAGGCACTATCAACAATAGCCAAATTATGGAAAGAGCTCAAATATCCATCAACTGAATGGATAAAGAAGATGTGGTATACATATACAATGGAATACTACTTGGTGATGAAAAAGAATGAAATCTTTGCAACAACATGGATGGAACTAGAGGGTATTATCCTAAAGGAAATAAGTCTGTCAGAGAAAGACAGATATCATATGATTTCACTCATATGTGAAATTTGAGAAACACAATAGATGAACATAGGGGAATGGAAGGAAAAATAAGATACAAACAGAGAGGGAGGCAAACC